TATAATTATTATAATTATACATAATAATATATAATTATGTATAATTATATATAATTTTATATAATTTTATATAATTATATAATTTATATTTTATATAATTTTATATAATTATATATGAAAAATTTTTTATTGGGTTGTTTTGTCATCAATATACCCTAATGGCATAATTTATTGTGGACTTGCACTTGCACGAGTCATGTAAAAACAAGGGTGTATATCAGTTGGACACGGGGCAATTGGACACAGTCCAATCACAAGTCGCTGTTCCAAGGGACCCTACAAATGTCTCTAATCACACGGTGCTGCCAACCACGGTGTCCAAATGCACCGTGTCCAAGTGCACCGCTCCCAAAAACAATACTTGCAAATAGGTGTGACTTTTTACTTTAGGATAATATTTGAAAAATATAATATATATTTTAATGGTTATATAACTTTAATTAAGAATAAATAAAATTTTATTAGAAAACAACACCAGATGATTTTATAATCAATAATACAATTTTATAAAATTATTTCGTGTACTCGTCATGGTATTGTTCTGCATAACCCACTGCTTGCAGTCGTGAGACAGCATTAGGGCTATCGCACACAAATTGACATAACTGGATATGCATAGCATAAGACCGTATGTACCAATGAGCATCGAGTATTAAGTCGCCATATTGGTGTTCGATGCTTAATATTCGATGCTCATTGGTCCATACGATCTTATGCTATGCATATGCAGTTATGTCAATTTGTGTGCGATAGCCCTTAGGTAGTTTTGAGTTGTCATGAATCATATAATAGTAGTAAATGGTGATGTCTGTAACTTATTTCTGCTCTAGGGAAATGACTCAGAGAAGTATTATCGGAAACACCCATTACATATGTGCTTGTACTATTCACACTTTTACACCTAATGTCCATTGCATACTAGTGCACCCCAAACAACACAAATTTTCCAAGATATGTTCTGAAGACATGTTTAGGACGGAGGGACGTCATCAGAATATTTTTAGGACGTTCTTTGAAGATGTGAACTGTCTGAAAATAGCTAATATCCAATAAGTTATTCGTATAATATTCGTATGAATTGAACTTTTTACACTTTCACACTTAGTGCACATTAATTCTTTAGGGTGCCATTACATGAAGCGCGGAAACGCGGAAGACAAACAAAATCTTACTAGATCTGCTACGCGTTTCGTGTCTGTTTTGATTGCCTTATATTACATGACGCATATTTTGAGCGAAAAAGCGGTATGGGGAATTATAAAATATTAATTTTTAACGGTATTTATTAATTAAAATGCTTGTATTCAACAGATAAGCTGAAAAGATAAACATATTAGAAAAAATTGCAGTAAATTATGTTAATACAATTTTAAAAAATGAATATAGATGTTTATTTGTCACCAAACCGTTCCGATTTTCCGCGCAAATTATGCTCCATATAATATAAGAAGAAATAAAGTCGCGGAATAAGCGCGGAAAAATCCATTGTCACAAGTTGTCACAAGTTATCACAAATTGTTCAACCTAACCGCCGTTACATTAAGACGTGTTCAAACACGTTCGGACCTGATATTTTTTTGGAATTCATACCTTGATACTTTGGATAAAAAGATAAAAGATAGAGAAAAGTTTTGAGCATTTCGCTTTTTTAACATACGGGAAGAAATGATTCAATTCGCGGAACGCGAAATCTAGTAAGATTTTGTCTTCCGTGTTTCCGCGCTTCATATAATGGCACCCTTAGAGGTTGGCGTAAAAATGGCGTCATATTTTGGGAGCGGTGCACTTGGACACTGTGTATTTGGACACAGCCAATCACAGCACCGTATGATTAGAGACATTTGTAGGGTCCCTTGGAACAGCGACTTGTGATTGGACTGTGTCCAATTGCCCCGTGTCCAACTGATATACACCTTCATATTTTCCATTCATGTTACGAGTATAAATGCAACTCTGATACATTTTTTACACTTGATCCCAAGTAAGACTAACGCGTTTTCCTCGTTGCTAGGGGACTGGGCCTGCTAGTCTGTCATGCCGACGCTACAGCGCGTACAACGTTCGTTTCACCGCAGCGTGGACTGCGGACTGCCGCTCAATAGAAATCTTTCGTTGTTAATATCTCAAAATTTCACGTGGTTGTTTAAAAAAAGACACTTATTCCATTACTCACCCCCACCTATTCTAGCTATATATTAGCTCTGGTACGATACGAGTCAGACACCCTGGGTATATACAGGGTGTCTCACACTCTCCTCTGGGTATTTTGTGGAGACATAGAATGGGTTGATGTGAACATAAAAGTCCTATATCGTTTTGCGAAATTCGCAATAATAGTCGAGATATTAATTAAAAAAGCTTAAGGAAAAATGCACGCTGAATGGTAGAGGACGGACCGCACGAGTCACAGCGCGGATGTCGCGCGCGATGATTGGGATGCTCGTATCAGACTACGGATTAAGATTGAGATTGAATTGAAAATTGGCCAATCAGAGCAAAATTCACTAAGCTTAAGTTTGATGAACTTTGTTCTGATTGGCCAATTTTCAATTCAATCTCAATCTTAATCCGTAGTCTGATACGGGCTGGAGACAATGCACCACTGCCTATACTTATACTGCTGCGCTCCTACGTCTTGCCGCATCACGCCGAGATAAGAATAGGCAGTGGTGCATTGTCTTCCAATCACCGCGCGCTATATTACTGGACTGCGCTGTGACTCGAGACGAAAAAGCGTAGCTTCTGAGAATCGGCCGAAATGGACAACTAATTCCGAGCTCTGTAGGTCTGTTCTTTTGCTCTGCACTGCTGCACTGGTGCAATAAGTTAGAGTGAGACAAATATGTATTTGTCTAACTTATTGCACTAGTGCAGCAGTGCAAGCAAAAGAACTGACCATGTATTAGAGTCTCTAGCCTCACTATTGTTACGTCGATAGATAACTATATAGGGAAATTTGAAAGTAGTGAAATCAGTGACTTACGTGGACGGTCAACAGAGTGATGGCTCCTGTCACGTCCTACCGACCAGGCTGACGGCCAGTAATATTTTTCTTTGTCCAAACAACCCTTTACCTGAGACACGTCAGGTACGAAACCTTCCTTCCCAGAAGGAAGGCATCTCAGATAGCGTCACTACCATGCAGGCCCCCTCCTAAAGGCGGGA